TGATTTTTTATATGCACTGCAGAGAGTTTGACAGAAAATCATTAAACTTCTTTTTTTTTTAAACAAACAGACATCATGAATCAGCATATCAATCTCAACAATGGTGACAGGTGACTCAACAATGGTGAAGAGTAGGGCTGGGCAATATATATCGCACGATATTGTATGCGCATCTAATCAGTAAAGCCGGTTCCTTGATTAGTAGTAAATCACCTTCACCTGCTTTCAGATGGAGCGGCATTTACTACAAAGAGCCGTATAGTAGATCACTGACAAGCTGAGCCAAATCGCGTTAATATTGAGGATGTATCGCCAGCGATATTTAATGCGATATGGCTCAGCTAGTCAGTTAACTACGGCTCGTCGTCACGACAAAATCTCCCGTGTTAAACTAACACACCTGGGAGTGTACATGAGTCCACACTCAAGAGTGTTAAAGTTAATTAGATAATTAAGTAATTAAATGAGTGATGATTGAGCATTATTGAAGACACCTAAAGCAGAATCACAAGGAAAAAAAATCTAAAATTGTAAGCCACCGTTATGGAGATGAGTGTTTACTTTAGTTGGGCTCTTGACCCTTATATTAAAAATTTTATATTTTAATTTGCTGTTGCATCTGAGTTAAACCTGTCAGATGAACAAAAATAAACAACTATAAATGATATTGGTTATATAAAGACTTTCATAATTTAAAACTTATTCTGTTGGTTACTGCATAACTGAGATTCCGCATAAACATCCAGAATGTTAAATATAATATAATAGATTTCTCAAAAGTTGTTTAAAAAAAATCTTTCTTTTAGGCACACACAGACCTCAAGATTCAGTCAATGCTTCTCAACAACGGTGACGAGTAGAATATTCAAGTGGGAAAATAATGAGTTGTGATTGGTGGCAACATGTCACCACGGTTGAGATAGACAGGCTGATTATTGATCTCTGTGTTACTGAATAAAGATGACAGTGATTTGATCAGAATATTTTTTATTAAATATTTTAGGTTATAAGTAAAATACAGATATGCTGCAGAACTACAAAACTGTAGCTAACAAGTTAACCATATTATCTGAATAAGTTGAATTTTTCAGATCATTGCATGATTATGTCAAAACATAACCAACACTATCAGATCACAGTTGCCTTTGTACATATGACTGTTATAAATCAATATCGACAGGCAAACAAAACTTAAAGCAAAAATATAAGTGTCAAGAGCCCAATTAAAGCAGACACTGATCTCCATAACGGTGGCTTACAATTTGTGATTTTCTCCTTCAGCGATTCTGCTTGTGATCATCAGGTCTCTTCAATAATGCTCAATCATCACTAAATTAATCACTTAATTATCTAAATAACAGTTTAATTTAACACTCATATCGTCAATTTGAAAGCATGTGAAGGTGATTTACTACTAATCAAGGAACTGGCTTTACTGATTAGATGCGCATAACAATATCGTGCGATATATCGCCCAGCCCTAGTGAAGAGTTTTAAACTATGGTGCCTCCCAGAATGCATTGCGGCATAAAGCATTTCACCATTGATGAGATTCATATGTGGATTATTGATGTCTGTGTGTTTGTCCAAAGATTATTTTTCCTTAAAAAAATAAAATAAAAATCAGCTTGATGTCTAATATGTACAAAATAAATGTTGTAAAGAATTAGAACTATTTATAACATTTTGCAGCTTTTTTGTCCTTTATTATGTTGTAAATTATTACATTATCTCTAGACCATCTTTGATTTTGGCTTTCCTTGCAACAAATTATGTGTTTTGTTTAACACTGTTACAGAGACCATAAAATCACATGAGAAGGCAAGAGTCAAATTGCCCAAATAAAGGAAACACTGTTCACCATAATGGTGATTTTTTTAAATGGTGACTAAACCATCAACATCTAAACCTCTGTTAATTCTCAATAAAATCTTCTGTAGAAGTCTGACAGAAATAAAGTCATTCTGGTTAGTGATAAGTGAAGCTGGTAATGCTGTTTGTGGAGTCGTTTAATCCTCCTCTGCTGAGAACTTCACAGATTTAATGTCTTCTTTGTATCTTCAATTGATTTAACCTAAGGCTGTGACTGGAGGTCAGTTGTAGTTTTTGTGTTTCTCTTTCCTTCAGTCATTCTGCTCGTTAACAGCAGGGCAGGTGTTTATCACTAATACTCAATCATCACCCAATTAGTCACTTAATTATCTCATTAACTTTAACACTGCTTCAGTGTTACTTTAACACTCTGTAGAGTGGGACCAAATACACTCTGAGCAGTGTTGAATTAACACTGGGGATTTTGCTGTGTATGCAGATGATATTACAGTTTTTATTACAGAGAAAGAAGATATTGAAATTTTAACAAAAACTATTGAATTGTATGAAAAAGCCTCCTCTGCTAAGGTCAATTGGACGAAAAGTGAAGGTTTTATGATTGGCAATTTGGAAAATTTTCCACAACTTCCAGGAAGGTTGCAATGGAAGAAAGATGGACTAAAGATTTTAGGAGTTTTTTTAGGAAATGATCAATTTCAGAAGAAAAACTGGGAGGGTTTAGTAGAGAAGGTGTCTGCCCGATTGTCGAAGTGGCGATGGCTATTACCACAATTGTCTTATCGAGGAAGGGTATTGGTAGTAAACAATCTGGCTGCTTCTATTCTGTGGCACAGGACTATGGTCATGGAGCCACCAGAGGAACTGATCTCCAGTATACAAAAAGAAATCGTGAAGTTTTTCTGGGATGGACAACATTGGCTGCGGGCTGCCGTGTTATATCTACCAGTGCAAGAAGGCGGGCAAGGACTGGTGGATGTGAGAAACAGAGTCCGTGGTTTCAGGATACAAGCTGCACAGAGATTTCTGTATGACAAAGATGTGCTGTGGGGAAAGACTGCAAGTGTGATCATGAGGAGAGTTGGTGGCTTAGGACTGGATAAACAACTCTTTTTAATGAAGCTTGAAGAAATGAACTTGTCTGAGCTCACTGTGTTTTACAGGACTATGTTGCAAACATGGAGAATTGTTATAAGGGCAGAACGGAATATGGACAATCTTGAACTTTGGGCACCAGAGGAACCACTATTTTTTAATCCATTGATACAAACCAGAATATTGACTTCTGTGACTGTACGACAATGTCTAATAAGGAATGGAATTGTAAAGCTGGATAATTTATTGAATGATGAAGGATGGAAACCGAGCGATGAACTTCAAGAAGCAACGGGATTGAGATCTTCACGTCTGGTGTTGAAACTAAAGGAGGAAATAAACAACGTATTGCCAAGTGGGTACAGAAGTTTTATTGCGCAAAAAAGACATGAGAACAACCAGGACAAGGGGGATAATGTGCAATTTCCAGAACTGGTCATTTCTCCAGCATTGAAGGAGGATGATGAAGAGGAAATGGTCGATAACATTCTGTCCTTCTGGAATCATCAGTTTTGTTCCTTTAAAAGCATTTCGAAGAAGGAAATCTACAACATTACAGTAAAGGCCATGCATCAGGACTCCTTTAGAAAACAGAAGGTTTCAAAGTGGCCAGATTTGTTGAGGCCAGACTTCCTGACAAGAGACAGGTGGAGAGCCCTATATAAGCCTCCTGTAGAGAAGCGCTCAGGCGATCTACAGTGGAGGATTATTTATGGGGCGATAGCAACAGACGGACATGTGGCACACCTAAACTCAGCGGTAAAGGGAGAATGTAGATTCCGTGGGAAAAAAGAGGATTTGGAGCATTTGTTTTTAAAGTGCGAGAGATTAAAAGGTATGTTTAATTTGATTGGGAGTTGGTTTAGAAAATTTGATGAGGAGTTTTCAGAAATGGTGTTTATTGGAGGAATCAAATATTCATTTTTAAAAAGGAAAAAAATGTGCCTATTAAATTACATAATAGGAACGGCCAAACTGGCAGTGTGGAAAACACGAAAAAATAAAGGTCTAAATTTAGCAACCATAGACCCTGAAGAGATGTGCAAGAGGCTTGTAGCGGGGAGGCTTAATATTGAATTTGCGTATTATAGATTGACAAATAATTTATTTGGTTTTGGTGAGATATGGTGTATTGATGAAGTGTTATGTATACTGCAAGAGGATCAGTTTGTTTTGAAATTTTAATTATTTTTATGTCTTTTATAATAAGAGTATAAGGGGTTTTATGGTGAGGCTTACTTTGTTTATAATCTTGAAGTAAAAATGTATAAATAAAGGTATTGTTAAACGTCTCTCTCTCTCTCTCTCTCTCTCTCTCTCTCTCTCTCTCTCTCTCTCTCTCTCTCTCTCTCTCTCTCTCTCTCTCTCTCTCTCTCTCTCTCTCTCTCTCTCTCTCTCTGCTAATGTAGGTTAAGCCGCTGTTATATGACAGATGAAGGTTGTTCTGATGTGACTTCAGCTCTGAAATCAAACCCGTCACACCTGAGAGAGCTGGACCTGAGCTGGAATAAACTAGGAGACTCTGGAGTGAAAAACCTCAGTGATCTACTGATGAACCCACAATTCAAGCTGGAGAAACTACAGTTAGTGTCATTATACTGTACAGTAATTACAGTGTGACTGAAGTTTATTTATTTGAAGACAGCAGGGCTTATGTTTCATTGGTTATAGCAGTGCACTTTCTGGGGGTTTACTTATTGCTCACATTTTTTTATAGTTCTTTATCTTTTCACAGTTTTTTATCTAGTTAGTAGAGTGTAGTTTGTATTTTTTTTATTCCCAGCATCTGATACAATGCACTGATTGTGTACTCACAGAAATCTGCATTTTCAACAGAGAATAAAGAAGAGAGACGTCAAATAAATAGTTAGAAATGAAAGAGAAGAAACAGTGTCTTCCAGCGCACAGAACTAGTGTGACTGGGTTTTAAAACAAACTATTGGAAACTAAATGCTGCTGTAGCTCTTCAATAAGATGATCATCATAGATGTGAACTATTGTTATTTCTCTGTCTTCAGTCTGTATGGATGCAGTATTACAGAGAAACAGAGTCTCATCCTGACTTCAGCTCTGAAATCAAACCCGTCACACCTGAGAGAGCTGGACCTGAGCAGGAATAATCTAGGAGACTCTGGAGTGAAAAACCTCAGTGATCTACTGATGAACCCACAATTCAAGCTGGAGAAACTACAGTTAGTGTCATTATACTGTACAGTAATTACAGTGTGACTGAAGTTTATTTATTTGAAGACAGCAGGGCTTATGTTTCATTGGTTATAGCAGTGCACTTTCTGGGTTTCCCTATTGCTCACATTTTTATGTTTTGTTAATCTACACTGTGTGTAATTATTCTGTGGCTTAGTAAATATCACAGTAATATTTAACTTTATTAACTTAATAAAATCTCTGAATATCATTTGCTTGATTGTTTGAGCTAAACGTACCAAAATAATTGACTAAAAATCCAACAGTTAATTTCATCTAAAATTTACAGTTATATTTATTTATTTTTTTCACTATTAGAATTTATTTTTTGACTAACCAATAATTTATGTATAATACACTTAACATAATTGTGAAATTTCTATCAAAATATTTGAGATTGGAGAATTAAACTTATATGTTTCGAGAACCACAAATATTACTTAATTCAAATCAATATCATAAATATATTTAACAAACTCTTGAAAGATTGAGCAGATTTACTCAGTTAAAACAATTTTATTTGTTAATGTACAGATGCAGTTACTCAGATCTACTTAATTTTTTACTTACATTTGCTCAGTTTATACAGTGTATTGTAATTGATTTCACTGCTTTAAAATGTAATCAATATTTTTGATTGTTTCACCAAAATAAATTAGTAAATCATATAAAACCTTTTAGAGTGTAGATAGTAATTGTTTAATTCCCAGCATCTCATACAATGCACTGATTGTGTACACACAGAAATCTGCCTTTTCAACAGAGAATAAAGAAGAGAGACGTCAAATAAATAGTTAGAAATGAAAGAGAAGAAACAGTGTCTTCCAGCGCACAGAACTAGTGTGACTGGGTTTTAAAACAGACTATTGGAAACTAAATGCTGCTGTAGCTCTTCAATAAGATGATCATCATAGATGTGAACTATTGTTATTTCTCTGTCTTCAGTCTGAGTTATTGCAGTATTACAGAGAAACAGAGTCTCATCCTGACTTCAGCTCTGAAATCAAACCCGTCACACCTGAGAGAGCTGGACCTGAGCAGGAATAATCTAGGAAACACAGGAGTGAAGAACTTATGTGCCGTACTGAAGGATTCACACTGTAAACTGGAGAGATTGAGGTCAGTCACATTCACACACAAGAATCAAAACACTTAAAATCACTTCAACTGTTTAAACTTGAACACATTAACATTATATATGTACAAACATTTTCACCTTAGTATTTTGTAATCTGGTGAAATAAAGATGAAGATCTCTCTTCCTTTGTCTGTTTTATTTGCTGATGAAGATGATGTGACTTTACAGAATAAAGAGTCTCTTATTTTCTTCTCTCTCTCTCTCTCTCTCTCTCTCTCTCTCTCTCTCTCTCTCTCTCTCTCTCTCTCTCTGAGCGGAAGTTGAGTGGATGGATGCGAGATTGGAGCGTGCGTGTTTTTTTGCGTGAGTGTTTTTCTGTCTTTCTTTCTCTTTTTCGTTATTTTGAGTTTATTTAAGGTTTTGTTGTCTTCAGTGGTGTGTTTTATTTGGGTTAGTTTGTTGGTAACGGCGGCGACCGGTGAAACCGGGAGTCATGCCGGCTCGAGGTGTGGGAGTTTTGGGGCTGGAAACGCTCACGCGTCGACATGCTTTTAAACTTTGCCCAACCGTAGAGTGTTCTGTGGAGGATTGCGCTCTGGCAGTCGGAGGAGTTATTGGTTATGAGAGCATAAAATCCGCGTCTAGGATGAACAACGGAGTTGTGATTTTTGTTGATAGTTTTGACAAAGTAGCAACAATTGTTGAACAAGGTGTAACGGTTAAGGATAGCTTGGTTCAAGCGGTGCCGCTCGTTAATCCAGCAAAAAAGATCATTTTGTCGCAAGTCCCTCCGTTCATTAGTAACGAAATGTTAGAGAGGGAACTGTCGAGACATGGGCAGCTGATGTCACCGATCAAAACAATTGGACTTGGCTGTAAATCTCCGCATTTGAGACATGTTGTTTCTTTTAGAAGGCAGGTTTTTATGATTCTAAAAAACAACAATGAAGAATTAAATCTAGTGTTTAAGTTCAGAGTAGATGATTACGACTACAATGTTTATGTGACATCAGAGAAAATGAAATGTTTTGGATGTGGAATGGAGGGTCACCTCATACGATCGTGTCCGGAAAAATCCCCTGCTGAAATAAATAATAAGTCAATAGAACAGGGTGAGTCAAGTACATTTCAGAAACAAAAACAAAATGAATTAAACGAATTTCAGGGACAAAAATTGAGCAAAACAAATAAGTTACAAGGACAAAAACAGAATGGAGGAAATGAATCTCAATGTAAATTAAATGAAAATCAGGGACAAAAACTAAGTGAAGCAAATGAAATTCAGGAACAAAAACAGAGTCAATCAGATGAAACTCAGGGAAAAAAATTGACTGAATTAAAACGTTCCCAGGGACAAAAAAGGATTGAATCAGAAGGAATAAAATTGAACAAGTCGCATAAAGTACAGAAGCTTGAACAAAATAAAGGGCCAACACAGAAAAAAGATGAGTTATTTCAGGTTCCCTCTCCAGTTGAGAGTAGTCAGCAGTATGTTGTGGAAGAGGTAGCCAGTAATGGCACTCAGAAAGAAGTAGTTTTTCCTTTGGCTGAAGAAGGTGAGATGCAAGTGGATGACAAATCTGAGGATAATGTTAAGAAAAGGAAAGCTAGGGATGGTTTTCAAATCTCTGGAAAAATGGGGAAATTGCCTCTTCATGGTTGTTCTCAGGCTTCTTATAGTGATGCTGAGGTAGGCTCTGATGCTGACTCTATAGTTTCCTCGCAGTCCTTGCCCCTGGAAGGAGGTGGATACTCTATGTTGAGTATTAAAAAATTTCTTAGGAGTACTAAAGGGGCTAGAAATGTTAAACTTGAGTGTGCATTTCCTGATCTACAACTTTTTGTTGATTCAGTTAAGAATTATCAAAATGAAAGTGCTGGAGAGAAAGTGTTTACTGATCAAGAATTGTATCGCCTAAAGAAACTTGTTTTGAAAGCTAAAAGACAGCTAGAAGATGATGAATATGTTTAGCTTTTCAATTTTGTTTTTTCTTTGTGTTTCTTTTGGTTTTCTTTTTTTCTTTTTTATGAGTGAGTTAAAGATAGGCAGTCTGAATTTGAATGGAGCAAGAGACGAAAGAAAAAGAGCTTCATTTTTCGGATTGTGCTCCCTCAAAAAATTGGATGTTATCTTTGTACAAGAGACACATAGTACTTTTGATAACGAAGTTGACTGGAAGAGAGAATGGGAGGGTGATGTTTTTTTAAGTCACAAAACCAGTAATAGTTGTGGAGTGGGTGTTCTTTTTTCAAAAAGTTTTAATCCTCAAGCTGTTGAGTGTGAAGAAATTATTAAAGGTCGTTTGTTAAAAGTGAGCGTAATATATGAAAGTGTACAACTTGTATTCATCACTGTATATGCTCCAGCTGTTGGTAAAGAGAGATTGACTTTTTTGGAAAATGTAAACAATGTTGTTAGAGATTGCAATGATAAAGAGTTTTTATTTGTGGGCGGAGACTGGAACTGTACAGAGAGTAGACGTGACAGAAATCATGTAGAGCCTCACCCTGCCTCTCGTACCCGCCTGATCCAACTGGTCGAGACTCATGAGTTACATGATGTGTGGAGAGGGTTACATGAAAATCAAAGTCAGTACACCTGGACTCATTGTAAAGACAATTTATTGTCTATGGCCAGACTTGATCGTTTTTATTGTTTTAAACATCATTCAAATGTTGTAAAAAATTGTTTTATTAGCCCTGTTGGCTTTTCTGATCACTCACTCGTTGTGGTTTGTCTTTTTCTGAAGTGTGTAAAGCCTAGTAGTGCCTATTGGCATTTTAATACAGCTTTACTAGAAGATAATAATTTTAAAGAAGTTTTTGTATCCTTTTGGAAAAACCATCAATATAAAAAAAATGAGTTTATTTCTTTGCAACAATGGTGGGACTTTGGAAAAGTTCAAACTAAACAGCTGTGTCAGCAATACAATCATAATGTTACCAAAGTCCTATTGAAATCAGTGAAAGCTCTGGAGTCAGAAATAGAAGAGCTCCAGCTTTTAGCTGAAGCCACTAAAGATCCATGTTATGTTGATGCTCTTGAAGTCAAGAAGTCTGTGTTAGCGAACATGCTTGGGGTGTCAGCACAAGGGGCTTTTATTAGGTCCCGATTTAAAAATGTGGCAGAAATGGATGTTCCATCACACTTTTTTTTTGGCCTCGAGCGGAAAAATGGTCAAAAGAGAGTTATACATAGTTTGAGGTCTGACTCTGGACTTGTGCTGTCTGATCATGCCGCTATTCTTAAGCATGCTGTCAGTTTTTACTCTGATTTGTATAAATGTGAACACCAAGAGGAGCAAATGTTGGCTCAGAGTTTTTATTCTAGTCTTCCACAGGTTAATCAACAAGATAATGTAATGCTGGAAGCAGATATTTCCCTGGGTGAACTGTATGTAGCCTTGCAGAGTATGCAGAGTAGGAAAACTCCTGGAATAGATGGTCTTCCTGTTGATTTTTATAAGTTTTTTTGGTTTTTAATTGGAGAAGATCTTCTTGCAGTACTGAAGGATAGCTTAGTCACTGGACGTCTGCCTTTAAGTTGCCGAAGGGCAGTTCTTACCCTGCTGCCAAAGAAAGGTGACCTGCAGCTCATAAAGAACTGGAGACCAGTGTCCCTTCTTTGTACCGATTATAAACTACTTTCCAAAGTCTTGGCAAGTAGACTTAGTAAGGTGATGGCACAAGTTGTTTGGCCTGATCAAACTTACTGCATCCCGGGTAGGCTGATCTATGATAACATCGTTCTCATTCGAGACTTATTAGAAATTTCCAAGCTTTTTGGTCTCAAAATGGGGATTGTTTCAATTGACCAGGAGAAAGCCTTCGACCGTGTTGAACACACATATTTATGGCAAACAATGTGTGCTTTTGGTTTTACTTCTGGTTTTATTAGTAAGATTAAGACTTTGTATGGTGATGTCCAGAGTGTGTTAAAAATCAATGGTGTTTTGAGCGTTCCTTTTCAGGTCCAACGGGGAATTAGACAGGGCTGTCCCCTATCTGGCATGTTATACTCATTGGCTTTTGAACCCTTATTACATAGACTTAGATCTGTTTTAAAAGGTGTTATTTTACCAGGGTGCAATATACCGTTGAAATTATCTGCATATGCAGATGATTTGGTCATCATGGTGGATAATCAACAAGATATTGATATGTTGGCAAATGTTTTAGTTCAATTTGGCTTGATTTCTTCAGCCAGAGTAAACTGGAGCAAAAGTGAAGCTCTCTGGATAGGAGTGATGGAAAGAAATATTCAATTGCCGGTGGGTTTAAATTGGAAGACAGAGGGGGGGTTAAAGTACTTGGGTGTTTTTTTGGGTGAAGAAAATTTTGTCCTTAAAAACTGGGATAATGTTCTTGAAAGGACTAAAGGGTGTTTTGTCAGATGGAAGTGGATTTTACCAAAAATGTCATATCGAGGTCGAGTTCTTGTTATTAACAACTTGATTTCATCCACCCTATGGCACCGTCTAGCATGTGTTGACCCTCCTCCAGATTTGTTGCCAAAGATTCAGGCACTTCTGGTTGATTTCTTTTGGGATCGTCTGCATTGGACACCTCAAAGTGTGTTATTTTTGCCGAAGGATGAAGGAGGACAAGGGTTAATTCATCTGAATAGTAGAGGGGCGACTTTTCGCTTTCAGTTTGTGCAGAGGTTTCTCTGTGGTCCCACAGACCTGGTGTGGAGACCATTGGCATGCACTATTCTGAACCAGCTAGGTGGACTTGGCCTAAACAGAACTTTGTTTCTGATGGATTTAAAGCAGCTCAACACCAGTGGATTGCCAAGTTTCTACCGTGGACTGTTGAAAGTCTGGAATCTGTTTAAAACTGAGAGGACAGAACATCACAGTTCACTGTATTGGCTTCTCCAAGAGCCAGTTGTGTATGGGACTCGTTTGAGTGCAACCTGCCACCTAGGTCCCAGTTTACTCAAACAGTTCTGTTCATCAAATGTTGTGACTTTGGGACACGTAATACACTTTACAGGGGTAAACATGGACAATGCTATTCCCCTTGCTTCTCATTTAAAAGTGCATTCTGTTCGTATAATTGAGTTGTTGCTCAAAAAATGGAAAGAGGAATTAACAGATGCTGAACGTACATTGTTGTATTTGTATTGTGACGGTTCTGTTCAAAATTGTGTTGATGATCCTTTTCCTTTGGTGAATGTTCTCCCAGACTTTAAGGACTGTACAGGGTTTTTTCTAGAAACCAATAACCCCTGCGTTTCTATTTATAATGCTGATAAGAAATTGACATACAGATTGATTGTAAAAATTCTGAACAAAGATAAATTAAACTGTAGAGTTGACACTCCATGGAGAGCTCGCTTGGGTCTGCTAGATGGTGTTGGACCTGAATGGAGATCGCTGTACAAACCACCATTGTTAAAGAAGGTTGCTGATTTGCAATGGAGAGTTTTGCATACAGCTGTGGCTGTTAACTCTTTTATCTCTGTGTTGAACCCTGATGTGAATCATGACTGTCCTTTTTGTACTCTACGTGAGACTGTTTTTCATTGTTTTATGGATTGTTGTCGTCTTGTGCCTCTGTTTGCTATGTTGGAAGATCTTTTTAAAACGTTTGGTGTAGTTTTTTCCAAGCAGATGTTTATTTTAGGTTACAGGTATTCCCAAAAAAAGAGAGAGCAGTGTCAGCTCTTTAATTTTATTTTGGGAAGAGCAAAGATGGCAGTGTATATGAGTAGACGAAATAAGGTTGAAGGATCTACAGATGATGATGCTGTTTTTGTATTTATTAAAATGTTGAAATCACGTATAAGAATAGATTTTAACTATTATAGTTTAATGAATGATCTTGGAAAATTTGCCAACATTTGGTGTCACAAAGATGTGCTCTGCTCTATTGTAGAGAATAATCTAATTTTCAAGAGTGTGTTGATTTAATGTGATTTTACTTGAGTGTTGTTTTTACAACTGTTTTAATAAAGTATTTGTAAAATCTAAAAATCTCTCTCTCTCTCTCTCTCTCTCTCTCTCTCTCTCTCTCTCTTTCTGCTAATGTAGGTTAAGCCGCTGTTATATGACAGATGAAGGTTGTTCTGATGTGACTTCAGCTCTGAAATCAAACCCATCACACCTGAGAGAGCTGGACCTGAGCGGGAATAATCTAGGAAACTCTGGAGTGAAAAACCTCAGTGATCTACTGATGAACCCACAATTCAAGCTGGAGAAACTACAGTTAGTGTCATTATACTGTACAGCAATTACAGTGTGACTGAAGTTTATTTATTTGAAGACAGCAGGGCTTATGTTTCATTGGTTATAGCAGTGCACTTTCTGGGTTTATTAAACTAAAACACTTTATTCTCAATATCTGACAGTGAGTCTGAGTTCACATTATATTTGTGTAAAATTCTTCACATTCATGATTTGTTTGTAAGATAATCTCTCTTCCTCTGTTTGTGTCTCTCTAGACTGTATGACTGTGGCATTACAGATGTTTCTTCTTTAACTCAGTCTTTGACGAACTCAAAAGCTCTGCAGTTTTTAAAAGAGCTTGATCTGAGACTCAATGAGATCGGAGACTCAAAGCAGCGGCTCAGAGACGAGCTACGAGACTCAAACTGTGTCCTGAGGTGAGGAAACATCACTGAGATATTAAAGACATCTTCATTTTCCTCTGATATGTGAACAAACCTTTCAAACATTCGTGAAAGGAAATTATCAATAAGATTTGTTGCAACAAAGGGTTTGTGTGAGAACATAATGTGAAGTTATTGAAATGTTGAACACAAAGGAGGAAAGAGAAGAAAAGCTCACTGTCACAGCTTTATACATCAACACCTGCTTTATGAACTGTGTCAGTAGAAGTGAATCATTTGAGTGTGAAACAGACTTGGTCAGATTGTAGGAAACGCTGCACTCCTGCTAAAATCAGTGCAGTTCCAGCTTCAGCTCACAGCGTCCAGCTCACATGAGCAATGTCTCTGTCTCTAGTGTGTTTTTACTGTGACAAGCAACACGTCACACTACTCGACACTTACTTTACTCTCAGTTATTTACTAAGAGCCTACAAACATGTTTAAACTAGAGGACAAACGGCTTTAACTAAAGGTTTGTGTTTAACTCAAAATAACATTAGTATTAGTACACACATATGAACATGATTCAGGTTCTATTATGAAATCTTTAAAAAAAAATTAAATCATGAATCATGATTTAAATCTATTATATTTAAAAACACAAATATCTATCCAAGATAATGTAAAGTAATTAATCTGATTACAGGAATTCAATTTAACCTTTTTTATTCAAAAAATAATAATTGAGATATAATATTTTGCACTTTGTTTCACTGAACACTGATTGTTTTCTCTTCTGTTCCACTTTACAGAGTATATTAAGATTGATCAGCAAACGTCAGTGGATTTACATCAAGGTTTAAATCTGTGAAACGGAGATGAGAGGAGCAGAAACCATCAGGTGATCCACAGAAGAGTCTCACTGCTGTCTATGAGGAGAAATACATGTGTAAATGTGTTTCATACAGGTGGAAGAGACTCAGACTTCACTATTAAATAAAGCAGCGTGTGTGTTAGCATGCGTATTAGAAACATGTGATATTGAATGATTAATGTTGGTTTATTATTCAGCCAAATAATTAAAGGTGGAACAGAGGAAGAAGCTCAGATGAGTGTCAGCAGAAATCTTCACTATCAGGCCTGCAAATATAATAATGTTTAGACTAAACTCATCCAGAATTATTCAGATATTATTATTATTATTATTCAGGGCAGATATAAAGATAACATGTAACTTTTAAACGTTTACATTATCTCTCTAACATTTTTTACACAGAATATGTTTATTGTTATTGCTTTATTGTGTATATACATAGTTATGTGTGTGTGTGTGTGTGTGTGTGTGTGTGTGTGTGTGTGTGTGTGTGTGTGTGTGTGTGTGTGAGTGTGTGTGTGTGTGTGTGTGTGTGTGTGTGTGTGTGTGTGTGTGTGTGTGTGTGTGTGTGTGTGTGTGTGTGTGTGTGTGTGTGTGTGTGTGTTGCTGATGCACAGATGTACAGTATATTGTGTTTGTTCAGTGGATGAAGTCTCTTCTCCTCTACAGACCGACTAAACATTTTCCCCAGTTAACAGCATTTGTGTGTGTTTCACTCGCTCCTCAGATAGCAGACGGATGTGGGCCACTTCAGGCGATGATGCGGCACTGCAGGCCTTCTTATGGCCCGACAAAATATGTGTGAGCCTGAAGTGGCCCATGTAAAATGGCAAATATGGCCCAAATATCTTAAATCACATGTGGGCCTTTTTAGGCAAAGATGTGGCACTCATGGCAATGTGTAATCTGAATATGGGCCTAAAGTGTCTCATATGATAAATAATGAATATGGCCCAAATATCACAAACCAAATGTGGGCCACCTATGGCAAAAATGTGGCACAATCGACAGTGACTAATCTGGGTGTAAACCAAATATGACCCACATGTTGCAGCAAATGTGACCCAGTTATCTTAAAAACAAATCAGGGCCAGTTTTGTCAAAGATGAGGGACAGTAATCACTGTGAATCTGAATGTGAACCCATGGGCGTCAGTGTGGTCTGAAATGTGCTGGGGACAAGAGACACGTTCATTTTTTGTCTCTTTCACGCAGGTCATGTTTTGAAAGATGATGTCATGTATCTTACTAATGTAAATAAATAAAAATGTACACAAAAATGTGGTGATGTCCGACTCGTTTTATGAAGAAGAAAGCCTTAGGTTTTTAAAAGCATTAGACATATATGGCCCACTATTCTGCTTCAAGTAGCCGGCCATGTTGACAATATGACAACGGTCAAAAAAAAAAAAAAAAAAACCCAAAGTACAATTATTATGGACGTTATCTGATATTAAGCGTTTCTGCTTCACATTTTCAGCAGGGCAGCGGAGACCCATTACATTGCTAAATAATGACTGTAATGAATATAATCAAATCTGCTGTCAGGACATAACTCTTGAGGAGATTATTTGGGGAATAACTGAATTAAAGAACAATAAATCCCCAGGCTGTGATGGTCTGAGCTCTGAGATGTAGAAATGTTTCTCTGAGGTAAATTTCTTCTGGCTGTCTTCAGAGAATCTCTTGACAGAGGGATCTTCCTCCTTCTCTGAGGCGACACACACTTCATCTAAAACCTCACACACACTCGCTGTTCATTGACAATCGGCGACCCATTACACTGCTAAATAATGACTGTGAGATTCTAGCATCTATCTTAAACTTCTCAAATCTAAATTATACACTTTAATTGATGAATGCCGATCTGGTTTCATGAAAGATCGTCACATAACCAATAACATTCCCCACATAGCAAACAGATCCGGAACGGATCTGCCGCGGAGGTAAGAACCAGGTCCGGAACGGAGTCCACTTGCACAGCGCAACGGATCCGGAACAGACTATGCAACAACAATAGCGTTATACAAACACACAGTTACAACAACCAAAGAGAAGTTAAAGTAGGAAGAATTGGGACCAAGACCCCAACTAAAGCAAACACTCATCACCACAATGGTTTCTTAAAATGAAACATATCAACATCTAAACCTCATCTAAACAATGTAAGGAAATGACATTGATATAAACATGAGTTTTAAACACGATGGCCACATTTGACCTAGTTTTTAAACTTGTACGAAGGTTCGATGAACGTCTACATCGGACGTGCAGAACACGTCAAAAAAACACGTCATAAAAACTTTAATTCTGGCTCCTCAGTGGACGTCTTTTCAGCATCCGACTTTTGTGACAAAGACGTTGAAAAGACATCTTTTGGACATCATGTTGTTTAGTGGGCAGTCTATCTAATGTTGGCCCACCAATAGATTTGAAATATTTTTGTAGTTTTGGCCAGATTACTAGTTTTGAATGAGTGATCTGAAAGGTTTTCAGACTGAAATGAACGGGTCCAGATCGGATCCGGATAGGGTCTGCCGCGGATCAAGTCTGGATCCGCAATCCGGATCTGTTCCGGATCCGTTGCGCTGTGCAAGTGGACTCCGTTCCGGACCTGGTTCTTACCTCCGCGGCAGATCCGTTCCGGATCTGCTTGCTATGTGGGCAGATGCACTTTTATGATGGATAGATGCACTTTTATGATGGACAGATGCACTTTTATGATGGACAGATGCACTTTTATGATGGACAGATGCACTTTTATGATGGATAGATGCACTTTTATGATGGACAGATGCACTTTTATGATGGACAGATGAACATTTATGATGGACAGATGCACTTTTATGATGGACAGATGCACTTTTATGATGGACAGATGAACATTTATGATGGACAGATGCACTTTTATGATGGACAGATGAACTTTTATGATGGACAGATGCACTTTAATGATGGATAGATAGTTATTTCAGGTGGGGATCATCAACATTTGCTTCTTAGACATCATAAAGACTGTAAAAGTACAAAAGTTAGAAAACATATATAGGGTCCTATGGGCAGGAGTTCCAGTGATCCAATGTCACAATTTATTTTTACATTTTTTGGTGTTCATTTGAGTGTTTATGCACTATACATCATCTAATCATGACTTGATGATGAATTTAGGGTCTCAGGTATATCTACCATAAGGGAGCGCGTCTTGTTCCACTCGTAGAGTGGGAGCATTCGTGGAAGTTCCAGAGAGTTGGGGGCATCAAATTCAGGTTTCACCTCCTGTATCATGATCCCACCGGTCCAGTTCACCACACTTGAGCCATGAATGTTTGTTGTTATTTTGTTCAGATTGTCCCACTCGAGATGAAACACATTCCCTCACCAGTAGTAATAATAATAATAATGAAAGTATAATTAATTAATTATTAAACATAACATTTTTTTTTTCAACTTAACAGAAATCTGGAGAGACCATTATCTGTCAGTTAATGTGGGCTTCCATAATGCTAAATGCTCTTCACCAAGAAAGACCTTTCTAATTGTGTGTTGGTGCATGGTGTAGGCTATGTATTTGTGTAGTTAGTTTAAAAATGTATGTTAAATAAACCTCACATTACCAGTGAATCCTAATTACATGATGTGATTTTTAATTAATGCATATTTTTGAACACGTATCTTAAAATGTATTATTTAATTAAAATATCTATGTTATATTTTTAATGTGCAACAAGTGAACATTGGGAACAAGCTCAACATGTGCTCAACATTAATTTACATAGCCAGTTATGAAAAATGGAGGAGATCTATCAAATCGAAAACTAAAGGAGAAAAACAGACTGCCTATAAATGTGCTTTTTTGCTTTTTTGGATATCCAGGGTGGCAACCAATATAGCCAGAAAATACATACATGTGACAATATTTCAGGTGGGGATCATCAACATTTGCTTCTTAGACATCCTAAAGACTGTAAAAATACAAAAGTTAGAAAACATATATCAGAAGGGTCCATAGGGGAGGAGTTCCAGTGATCTAATGTCACCATTTTTTGACATTTTTTGGTGTTTATTTGAGTTTTTATGCACTATACATCATCTAATCAAGACAATCCTCATATCTATCAATTCCTCATGCAAAGACGAAGAGAAAATGGGGTAGATTGTGTCTGTAGGATGTATTGTTCAGATTCTATGTAGATTTAAAGTTTTCATTTTCCGCAGCCAAAAATCAAGCACGGACACAAAAGATGATACAAAAAATCACATATGGGACAAAAATTTGCGCGGGGAACATCAAAATTCCTTTTCTAGACACCTTAAGGATTACAAAAAACTAGGTTAAAAAATATATATCTTTCGGGTGCAGGTGAACCCCCCCTTCCTACCAGACTATAAGACAAGTTGGTATCTAAGAGAAAGTATGCCTGTCACATGTAGACTCTGCTGCATAAGATGATAAAGTTCTATCATAGTTATTCTGCATGATTCAGTTTCTATATTACCGAAGATACCACATATTGGCGACGAGGATATTGGAAGGATGAAAAATATGTCAGTTTGAAGACGGATGCTACAGGGTGAGCTGACGGGAGAGAGAGGGGCTAGCAATTGACCGGAGGATTCACGAGAAAAAAAAAAAGCAAAGATGGCTACGATGATAGGCACTCTGTCGGCTTTTGACGTGAAGGAGCAGACGTGGGAAGAGTATTGTGAGATACCAGAACAGTTTTTTGAAGCTAACGGAATTGACGATGGAGATAAGCAGAGAGCTATCCTCATCAATGTGGTGGGACCAGCCACATACAAGCTCATGAGGAACCTGGTGAGTCCAGATAAACCCAGCTCTAAAACTTACGGTCAGTTGAAAACTTTAATGAAAGAGCACTTCAACCCCAAACCGAGTGAGATAGTTCAGAGATACAAATTTGACTCGCGCTCCCGCCAGCCTACAGAGACCGTCAGTGTGTATGTAGCTGAATTGAGACGATTAGCACATGATTGTAACTATGGTGCAACACTGGAACAGATGTTGAGAGACCGACTGGTATGCGGTATTAATGATGACAGGATTCAAAGACGCTTGCTATCCGAAACAGACTTGACGTTTAAGAGAGAGTATTCCAAATTGCAGTAGCTGCGGAGGCCGCTAGTAAAAACGTTCAAGATCTCCAT